GCCCCCCCCCCTCTACCTCCCTCCCCCTTGCGTTTCCATTTACCTTTGTATCTCATTACTCAACACTCCACCCAATGCAAGCCCCAATTTCTCATTAAGTTTGCGAGGAAAGTGAACAGCGTATAAATAGTCAGTAAAAGGATAAATCACAGAATGATGTCCGCAATCATAATAAATATAATATATTATTGGTTGTTGGGTGGATATTTATGTTGGGAAATACTGGTCTTCATGCATTGCACATTATAGGCCACTGTTTTGTTTGCTGAGGTAATTATTTACAATGAAGTCTTTTTTATTTGGGCAAATTATACCCGTGTATGTTATGCATTGTGCTCACATTGTATGACGTAACCACAATATCTGTTTGTTCTTTGCTGGTTGTATGTTTGTCTATCTGTATGTCTATTTGCATACTACTATATGCCAATTTTAGAGTGCAAATAGCCTGTGTTTTGCTAACATAAATACTTTAAAAGCCCCATTCATTGACTTGAGAAAAAATTCAAAACAACTTTTATATGGACGCCATATCAGAAACCAAAACATCCAGTTGGTATAACTTTTTTACTATAACGAAACAAATGCTGAAGTTTTCATAAAGAGCCTAAAATTGAAAGGAAGAAATGAAGTTTCAGTTTAATTATCTTATCCTGGCATCTGCTGTCTTTCAAGAATACGAGTAAGAAAAGGTAGGTGTTCAGCACTTTGAAGATGAAAGAGGAACCCATTATCTTATTATAAAACAATATTTGTCGTGGGAATAGATCGTGTCAGTAAGTGAAGTTAGAATGTGTGTAGTAATATCAGGCTGTGAATAGAGGATGTGAGCCAGAATCTGAGGTTTTGACATCGATTCCACTTTGAAATCATTGAAAAGTACAAGGCAGTCGATTTTGTATCAATGTTTTTCAAAGTCGAACAACGTCAAAACATTACTTTGACTCTGACAAATCGCATGCTCTTCACATTCTCTATTTGAAACATGCATTTTGTCAAACCAGCCGTCTCTTCAAGCATGTGCAGGAAACACCATCCACGTTGACTCCATAACCGATGTGTTAATCATCTTCTGCATTGCCACCTTTTTAACTCACGTGAAACCTGAGACGTCGATCTTTCCGTTTAGCATCATCATCATCACTATCACCTTCATCATCACTTCCAACACCAATACTATCATCTTTTCCAAGACTGCCATCTTTTGATCCATCTTCCCCTTCACCTTCACCACCATCATCACCATCGTTATCATCATTGCTTAACTCATCTAGATTTTCGTCAGTCGTGTCGTCATCATCCAGGACCTCACGAGCATCATCACCAGTATCACCAACGACATCATCACTATCATCAACATCACCACCATCATCATCGCGTGTCATGTTGTCGACACTCACATCATCATCATCGTCGTCGTCATCGTCACTGAGAAGTACATCCTCGCAGTCAGCACCCGCGGCCATGATTTTGGAGAAAATTCCGGAGGAGCGATGAGCGAAGCGACGACACAGGAACTCCTCGTCGACGTCACTCACGAAGTTTGTCAGACACTCGATGTCGTCACCCTGAAACAAATGAGCGAAATTATAATATAGATTTAACCCATTGAAGACACGCATTCTGGTCATTTGACAAATCTTGATGATGCTACGTTTTGGCGTATAACGTCACCGTTTCGTTGTGTAGTGTTTATCTGAAACGTTAAAACGATTGGAATAGTATGCATAGTATGAAAGGTGCAAACACGTTTTTCTGATTTATATATGATGGTTCGAAATGTCATGAAATGCTGCCTTTGCTAAACGGATAATTGAACATATGTGTCCATTGCATCCTCAAAGAGTTAACGCATTTGCAATACTGTAAGGCTATTTTTAAAAGGCCGGAACTCCAAATGTAACGTATAGCTCCGATAAGACCGAGCCATAACATGGGAATGTATACGTGTAAAGGAAAACGGGCCTTTCCTAGGGACACAATGTTGGACCGAGCTGAACATCAAACTTCTCGAACCCCTCGATCCCGTAATCACACGATTACTATTCCTGTATACTGAACCCAAGACTACCGACACCACTTTGGGAAAACTATCGTTTACCAATGAGCACTACTTATTAACACAATTGTGAAAGAAGAGTGCTTGGTTATTTTGAATATGGAAGAATAGAGTTTAAAAAAAAAAAAGAATGAAGAGATAATTTACAAAATTTCATACTATGTGTTGCAAAAAAAAAAAAGAAGAAAATACAGACACATGGACTGACCGACAAACAGATAGACTGACAAATAGACAAACAGCCATACAAAGTACAGCTTTGAAATGAGCTCTATATTATAGTCGCACAGTTCTCACGGGCGCTTGTAATTTTAAAGTCAATTTTCTTTTCTTTATCTTACTTAGTCTCCAGACACTCTGCCCCCACACCCATCCACCCC